GTCCATGTGATGTAATACAAGCTTATTTGTCTGAACCTTGAGTCTCTACATCAACTATTCAGTCTTCAGGTAGAGTTATACAATACTGGTATTCTGTAGAGGCATATTAGCCTAGTGTAGCTCAGATAGGAATAGACTTTTGCTCTGCCCCTGGTAAGCTTTACTTTCTGTTATATTTTCCTTATATATTTAAGAGTCTTATCTATTTCTTTGTTATAGCTACCTCAGTTGATGCAGAAAGAGCATTCTCTGTTAGAAGGTGTCAACTTAATTTTATACAACATTCCACTTCTTCAAACACTTTCAAAGCTAAAATGGCTGTTGGTTCTTAGGATGGAACTCCTTTATTTCCTACTATTGATCATGCAATTGAAATAATTAGACAAAAGATGTCTTAATCCACCATTCCTTACTTTTTTCACACTGATTTGGAGGACTTTCATTATAGAAATTTAAAATATATACCCTAATAATGTCTTTATTTATTACTAAATAAAACAATTATATTGTATATACTTATATTTAATGTGAAACAATAAGATTATCAACTGAGAATTAAGTAGAAAAAAGAATAGTTATATTCTACAGTGGTACTCGAAGATTGGCACGGTACGGTGGTTTACCGCGGTAACCGTGAGAAAATTTACCGCGGTAAGAAAAAACCACGGTATGGATCGCGGTACGCGCGGATGGTTACCATGCCAGGGCCTATGTTACAGTAAGTTCGGCTTTGCAGCAGAATTCTATGTCACGTGATACCATTCGTGCCATCTTCAAATGTGCAAAGGCTTGAGTAACTCCTCTGATGTAAATCACAGGCACATGCACTATTTCGTCAAAGCAACCGTAGAAAGAGATCAGAATTGATGTAGGTGAGGAAACTTCACAAATCCGAATCAGCTGCTTACAATAGACCGTTTTCTTCGATTACCACAATAGACTCGTAAAAGACAGGATCGATCTCTTATTGCACCTGAAGGCTGAAATTATCCCAAATCATGATTAAAGGTAACTTGATTGCTTTAATCTTCTTGAATTTCTAACCATTAGTCAAGTTGCACAGGGAAATTGGGAGACGCCGGAGCCACTTGAATACTACATCAGTGAAATCTCCTGCCAAACATTATTTTTCACAGTTCCAAATCGCTGGCCTCTCAGTAGCAAGTAGTTTTCGTCTTGAGGGCGTGCTTTCTCGAAAGTTTATCAAGCAGAAAGGTTCAGCCTTTCCGATGCTAGGTGTATTCACCCTGCACTAACTCTAAGGCAATGAATAGGACGATTATATAAGGAAACCTGTTTCATCTGGACCTCTCACTTCACTGGTACGCAGTTGAACAATCGAATATGCGGCACGAACACTGACGCGTCTTTTCGGCGTTAGCATATTCAAGTCAACATTGCTCCAAATGATTCCCCATGAGCAGTGGTCGATCAAACACGCGACATGGAAAGTGACGAGTTATATTTGCACACGTCTAGGGGATTCCTGATGCAGGATCCACTCCTCCTTTTCGGATCACGGCTGTATCCGCTTTGTTTTCCAAGTGCACCCCGTGTCGCAGATAAGTTCTACATCGCTGAGTAACCAGAAGCATACATACCTTGTGGGAATTACGCTATCTTACAGTAGATAAAAGGCCCATGGCATCGTAGGCTGCTCGACACCCGTTGGATTTGAACATCTTCTGAAAATGCCTTCATACGTCATAACTGGTGCGTCTAGAGGTATTGGAGTGAGCTCTTTTCTCTTTGACGTGAGAATCTGATTTGTTTACACAATTTCTTTAAGGTGGGTTGGGTTCGGAAGCTGAGTGTAGACGCGAACAACAAAGTGTTCGCCCTTGTGCGCAACCCTGAGACAGCAACTCAGCTCCAGGAATTTATGAAATCCGACGAAAACAAGAACAAGAATGTCATTGTAATCAAAGCTGACTTGACAGATTATAAGACACTTAAGGTGGGTGTAATTCAGGTTCCCTACTGCCTCGTGTCCATTCCTGACTTGAGCTTGCGAAACTCTGATATCGCTAGGCGGCGGCAGGGGATGTGTCGAAAGCTACTGGCGGTACATTAGATTATCTCATCAACAATGGTGCCCTGCTCTGGCACGAACGGGCAGAGCTGACTGTGGATGCCTTGTACGTTCTGTCAGTGCTGAGTTTAACCCTCGGAACTCATCTCGTGCCTATATTTTTCATTCAGCCCCGATGAAGAGACCCTTAGGATGACTTTCTGGCCTTCGTGAGTCGCCTTTTTTCCCCTTCGTTTTGTATTGTCAACAATCTAACGGGCTGGATGATGAACTCAGTTCAAGACCAACGTCATTGGGGTCACTCATACGATAAATGCGTTCATCCCGCTACTCCGTGCCGGAAAAACGAAGAAAGTATTGGTGGTCTCCTCGGGCATGGGGTCCATTCGATTTAACTTGGATACGAACAGCGATACCAATGTGGCTTATTCGATCTCGAAGGCTGCAGTGAACATGGTCGTTGTCAAGTTTGCTACAAGGTACAAACAGGAGGGATTCACTATTGTAGCCGTCACGCCTGGGTTTGTGAATACCATCCCCGGCTCAGGTGAGTTCTATTCAATTATACCGCATATGACGTCGTAGTTTCCCGATGCATTTTCCTTTGATTTAAAGATGCCGACGAAGTCGAAAAAATCCGCGAGGGAATTGTTGCTCGAATTCGTACCGTCAATCCGAAATTCTCTGGTGCTGCAACTGTGGAACAAGCCGTCAATGGCCAACTAGCGTTGCTTGAGAGGATAACACCTGCAGATACAGGGGCTTTTATCCGTCCAGACGGGAGCGATGCAAATGTCCTAAAGTACTAGTACCACCTTTTTTTGGGATTGTAAGATTGTCGAATTTTGACGAATTGGATTCACACGAATGAACGTTCCCACTTCCACGTGTAGACCAGAGATTATTACGATGGATGAATATGTATAACACCAGGAAGAAGAATTTAATTAATATCGAGCGCTCCTCAAGATGTAACGTTGAGAGCACTGAAAGAGTTCAGGACCATCCGCTACAACTCAAGTTTGCAACTGCAAATTACCAGTCTGTAGTAGAGTCTCATTTCTAGTTTAAAATCAGCTGTTACATGGAAAGTGTGATGCTTTAGTTAAATATATATTAGCAAGGATAGCAAGGATGGATATTCCCATCGGGACATTGGCATTTTATTGGGCTATAGCAGAAGATTGTGTTGTCTATCTGAGCACGTATTGAAGAGTAACTATTTACAAATAAAAGTGCACTGGAAATATAAACAGGATAGTCATGTATGAGTTCTTATTACCGAAATAGCTTGAACAATCCGGACAATATATATATCATATTTC